GATGCCATCACCCTGGTAACATTCACAAGGATTAGAGCAAGCAGGAGAGCATCTTTCCACTTGCACAACATAATGAGGAGGCCACAAGGGAGGCGGGAGGGAGAGAAGTGGAGGAAGGCCTGGAAGAGACAGGCTGGAGAAAGAGGGGGTGAAGAGAAAAGTGCTGACTGAAGGAATAGGGAGATGGTGAGAGAGGAAGTTCAGGAGGGAGGAGAAAGAGGGACAGGACACAACTGCTTCTGCCGCATGTGTTCTTTCTGCGGGACATATACCACACACTGGCTGTGATTTTTCTAAACTCCTTCTTTGTGTAGCCCAGGTAACTCGGGTATATACTCCCCTTCTCCAATTGAAGGGGATTGTTAGCTGGCAGGTGTGCTGTGGGGTGGGAACTGCAGACTGCTCCGTTTCCCTCCGGCCATATAGAACCAGGCCAGGACAGTCAGGGGACTTAACTATATACACATTTATTTACATTAACTTTTCACAAGGAAAAGAAACATGGATATAAACATATATATATATATTTTTATATATTTATAAGATACCTAAACAAATAACATAAACAATACCCTCTTGGTAAATGACATAAAACCTTATACCAGTGCTCCAGATACAGGTAAGTCGCAGGTAAGTATTTGTTCTGAAACAGATAAACCCGCAAATAAACATAATCCCAAGGGAAAACCCCAATGCCCTTGGGCTTTTCCCAAGTCCTACAAGGAAGCTGGTAACTTTAGGGGGGCCTTCCCAGTGGGACCTCCACTTTCAGGAGCCCTTAACTAACCAGGGGGGACTCCCTATCTCCTGTGGGAATCCTCTTTTCCCTGCAACTCACAGCTCCCAGGCCTGGAGGGTGGGCCTTGTGCTTTGCGCCAAGCTGTTCTCTCGCCAGCAGTGGGCTTTGGGGAGGGTTGCTGTCCCCTGGAACAGGGCTCCTTTATGGGGGGCTTCTGAGGCCTCTGGCTCAGCCCTGTCTGCTGACTCAGTAGCCCAAGCACCATCTGGCTCCCTGGACTCAACCTTTTGCTATGGGTCAGAGGCCTGGGTTGCCTCGTGCAACACCTTAAGAACCTGCTCCGTGCACTGTCCTGTGCACCATGTCTCTGGCCACACGCCAGAGGTTGCAGACCCAAGCCTCCTCTCACAGCTCCCAGGGTCTGGACACCATGCGCCGTGCTGCACATCGAGAGTCTAGCTGCTGGAGCTGTCTGCCGTTCCCTGCTGATGGAAGTCTTCAGGGGCACTTCTGGGCTACTGCTTTGCCCTTGAACAGCTCTCCTCAGGTCTTTTAAACCCTGCTCTTCTCTCTTCTCTGTCCCAGATGTGTTCCCCTCATGCTGGGCACCCAGCTCCTTTTATACACTCCAAGGCTCCACCCCTGAAGTTTTCCAGACCTGAGTGTTGCAGTCTTCAGTCAGGTCCCGGGCGGGGAGGGGTAACTCCTCTCCCCCTCCTCTCAGGAAGGGAGCATGACTTAACTTTTCTTGCTGCCTCCTGATTGGTGGATGGGCTCCACCAATCAAAACAGCAAGATTTCAGGCCTGGGACTCAACCCAAGCTCCAAAAGGCAAGCCTGCTACATTTGTTTATATGCTGAAGATGAAAGTGCTTTTCAAAGGCTATTGAAAGGCTGCTTCTAGCTGTGCCCTGTGGGATGGGGTAGTAATAAGAGTAGTTATTCCTGGATGATTGCTATGGAAACTGCAGAGCATAGGCTGAAGTGTCTGGCTAGAAGTCACTGGGGGAGTCTAAAACTCAGACTTCCTGGTTCTCAGGCCCTTTTATTATTGCCCTGTGGGGTCAGGCCAACTCTCAGGATCTCAATATTGTGCTGGTAGGCAGGAGGGTGTGACGCAATTGAACATATACAAACACACAAATCAATTAGGTGCATGCACATACACACACTACCAACTCAGGCACATACACATCCAAACCAGCCTAGGCACATGCATACCTATCACCAATTCAAGCACATACACTATACTCCCCAAAAGTTAGACAAAAATCAATTGTCCATACCTGCACACTCAGTACACATACACAGATCACTAATTCGTACTCACCTGCCTACCTGACTGGGGTCATTTGATACCAATTTTCCTCCTGCCCAGGCAAGGGGTCGGACTTGAAGATCTACAAGGTCCCTTCCGACCCTACTTCTATGATTCTGTGATATCATGCACACAATGACATACTCACACACACACACACACACCAGTTCACACACATACAACCCACCTACACATACACACAGGTAAGTTCCTAACTCGGATGGTATAGTGTGTATGTGTGTGCTTGGGGTACCTGGGATACTTGGAGGACAGTTAAGGTGAGAGAGAGAGTTAAAGTGTAGGGAGTGAAAGTTGCCAGAACCAGGATTAGAACTGGTGGACTAGGGATAAGCTAGCTGAGGAACTGAGGCTTGTGTTTACTTAAGATCAAGTGGCCCCAGGGTTACTTGAGGTCACTGGTGCAAGGGAAAGAAAGAAAAAAGCC